CAGTCAGACGCGGAGGATGGAGGACCCAGAGCTCCCCCTCGCGGCCGGTGGGATAGGAAACGGCCAGCCGCTTTGTAACGGGGAAGGGCACCTCCCAACGCCCAGGGCAGAGGCCCTGAGGGAGGGTCTGGGCCCCACCGTCCTCTAGGTCTAGGAGGCCGGGCCCAGGGCGGTGGCTGTGCTCTGCCCATTTGGATGCAGGACCATTCCAGTTCGGACTTGCCCACCTAGACGCATGGCCTCCCACGTCTGCCCTCTGCTCCCCTCCCAGCCAAGCTCTACCCTGTGATGACAAGCACCCACCCACCACGCCCACCCCCATCTCTCGCTCCTTCCAGCTCACCAGCTCTTTCCAGCTCACCAAATCCGCAAGCCTCCTCGCCCTCCTCACTCCACTTCCACAACCGCAGGCCCGCGTCCATCATTTCAATCTCGGCCTCGCAGGCACTCAGCTCCTTCTCCGGCAGAACCCCGACCCCGCGACCTGCGCCAGCGGCTGGAGGCTCCCGGGACCAGGCTGGCGGGTCTCCCCGCTTCTCCCAACTGCGGCCACTGGCCAGGACCAGGGCCTGCTCGCACCTCTCCTGACCTCTCCAGCTCCAAAGTCGCCCCTCCCCGCCCCCCTTCTCAGCGGAAGGCCTTAACTCCCTATCACCGACTGCCACAAGCTCCTAGGTCCTGGGACCCGTCCTTCTCCCGTTGCCATGGAAACTGCAGGCTCCCACAAGGCCAAATGCTGCTCTCGGGTGCTGGGGCCCACCCCGCCTCCTGCACCCTCTTTCTCCCCTGCCCACGAGTCAACCACCACCAGGCCCCACACCTCCTTCTCCGGAGACCTCAGGAGCGGCCACTCGCACCCGCTCCAACCGGCACCAAAAGTGGAAAGCGCTCTCTCCTCGCATCCCCGGCGACCCCAGGTGCTAACAGAGCCTCCTCGGCGGCAAGACCGGAACAAAACACACACACAGCTCCAGCAGCCCGGCCGCAGCCTGGCTGCGACCTGGTCCTCCCAAACTTCAGGAGGACCTAAGCAGCGGTTCTCAACCTGGGGGTCGAAGGACCCTTTCACCGGGGTCGCCTAAAACCATCGGGAAACACACATATAATTACATATTGTTTTTGTGATTCATCACTATGCTTTGATGATGTTCGATTTGTGACAATGAAATTGGGGGTCACCGCAACATGAGGAACGGCACTAAAGGGTCGCGGCATTGGGAGGTTGAGAACCACTGAAAGGATGCCTGAGCCCGGCCGGTGTGCTCAGTGATTGAGCCTCGACCTGTGAACCACGAGGTCACGGGTTCGATTCCCGGTCAGGCACGTGCCCGGCTGCGCTGGACCCCAGTGGGGGGCGTGTTTTTCTCTCACTGGTGTTTCTCTCTCCCCTCTCCTCTATGAAGTCAACAAATTACATTTTTTAAAAATGCCACCATCTCCAGCGACCCTACATCCCTATGGGCAGGGCCCCCGGGCGCCGGTGCGACACTCACCGCGAGTCAGGTTCCGCCTC